GATAGTCCCCTCATAAAATTTTTTCTTTAATTAATAGTTGCAGTGATTTCTTTGGTTTTGGTTTTAAAACAGTAAATCAAAAAGCACCTTTATTTTGAGTTTTACGTTACGTCGTTTGGCTGTGTATTTATATGTCTTCATCCGGTACTGCATGAACACAATTCGTGTGAATCCTTTTTAAATAGTCTGTTAAGCCGTTCTGATCATAACTCTCCTCAGCATCGTTAAATAAAGTAAATGAAAAAGATTAATTTAAATTACTTTTGTTACAGGCGTATCTAATTTTTAGGATATAAACTAAAACCTAGAATATAGAAAACTATCATATAGATTGTCATGGCAACCTTTTCTATTGCAAAATTAACTACGGCTTTTTTTATTAGCAATATAGAAAATCAATTAGTTTATAGAACATGACTGATGGGTTCCAACTGAGTTCAATCAGTGCCTGGGCTCAAGTCACCAAATACGAGCGACGGTTTTATTGAAATTCTTTGTCGTCTTTGGTGGCTTTGAGCCTAAGCGCTTATTGAACTCAGTTGGAGCTTATCAGTCATTTTATGTAAACTGATTGATTCACGGTCTTACGTGGCTCTGGTTAATGTAGTCGCAAATTAGTAAAGTATTATTGAGGTAAACGCACATTGTCCAAACCATTTTACTGCGTTATATTCAAAATATAGTGTGAAAACAAGAGATTACAAACTAGTTTCTGATCTTTTGCTTACAACAAATCCTTCGGAGTTTGCTCGAAACAGGTTTTGAAAGGAAACGAATTCTTAACACATGTTTATGTCAGACTGAATGCATGCCCAGAATAGTTCCTTGCGAAATATATTTAAAGTAAAGGGCAATTCATAGACTTTCAAGTATTATCTTCCCATAGTCGCTGTTATTGATCTCAATGCAACACCAAGCCAAGATAACTGTGAAACGTATCCTAGGGAGTTCATTAAAACAACGTGTGATACAAAAGAATTTTGTGCGGGCGAAATTCCGAAAGAGCTCAGTCGCTACATTTCGTTTCTAAGAAAAGAAGAAAATTCAGTGCTCTGTGAGGGCAGGCCCCTGGCTCTGTCAAATAGGTTTTTTGCGAGTGCGGATCATAGCTCTAGGCCCTAGGCCTTAGGCCCTAGGCCTTAGGCCCTTTTAGATCATCTGATCACCTGAACTAGCAAAGCCATGTCCGTCGCCAGCGTTATTGTCATTCTGTCATTTTCCTAGCCGGCGATTGGCTTGATCTTCAGTTTCAAAGAACTGAGTTGGGTTCCTTATGTATCTATACGAATCAAACATAACGATCACACACTTGCAGATTCCCAGCTTCTCCAGATTCAGTATACTCTACT